CAGTTCCATTTCTAGTTCTTGAAAAACACATTGACAAAATACAAATTCAACCTGGGAATGTCATAGTTACCTCATGTAGACACACTGTTACCTTCTGTTCCTACAGACCAAGTGGACTTTTTGTTAGAAAAGCTGAACTTCTGGGAATCTAAAGCTGCAATTCTCCCTTCTTTTCCCATCCTACTACAAAAAAAACCAAAACAAAACAAAAAAACCAACAACAACAACAACAAAAAACAAGCAAACAAACAAACAAAAAAACCCAACAAAAAAAAACAACCAACCAAACTCAACCAAACTAAAACCAGAATTAGCGTCCTTGTTCTAGACTTCAAAATGGATTCCTAATGCCAGACTCTTAGTACGTGCTTTGGTGGCAAGATGTTTCCTGACAGCAGGGTACTTGGACTGTTCTGGCTTTAGAGAAGAACAGATGCTCAGGAGGAGACGAAGAGGTCCATCTCGTTGAATTTGTGGGAGCTCATGTTACGGCTTTGAGTGTACTCCGAGACCTTGCAGTCCCTTCCCGGCTCCCTGGGGGCTTCACTGCCAATGTGTGAGGCTGGCTCCAGTACGATGCACTCACATCACCTCACACAGAGCTGTGTGATGAGGAGCTGTGAGGAGCCTCCTCGGTAGCCTCGTGGGAGCTGTGTTTGAGTGTGGACCCTCTCCTGAGCAGCATCACGGGTGTGCCTGTGCCTGGCTACATCCCCTGCTCATCCTGACCCACTGACTTGACTTCCCAGCTTCACCTCCGACCAGGTTCATCGCTGCAGACTTGTCCGGAGGCCTGGGGCTCTTCGCTGGCCCTGCTTGCTGTCACTGGCCCTGCTCTGCTTTTTTGTTTGGGTGCTTGTCAGTGAGGTCACTGCCCCACCTGCCTTGTCACATTCAGCTTCTGGGTCACCCACCCTTGCAGAACAGCCTGTCCTTGCTGCTCCCTGGCGCCTTCCATCTGCTTACCTGTAAACCTGCAATTACACGATGGTGGGGGGTTTTTCTGATAACTCTTGTGTTTGCTTTCAAATTGGTAAATTTGGTAGAATCAACTTTTGCAATTTTTTTTTTTTTGTTTAAATAGGAATCTTCTTTATTACATGCAGATCTAATCAAAAAAAGGTGCCCAAATGACTAATATTAGCTTGGGGAGACAATCCCTATTACTGTTTTCTTTTCCATGGTTTGTGGTACAAGATGATGAATGACATCCCATCGTCTTTGACATTCACTTTCTGTGTTGTAGAAGATAATAAGACATGCATGAAATCATTGCTATTAACTTAAAGTTATTTGAAAAAAAATCAAACACCAAATTAACTACCTATAGCCAATAAAATTATAACCATGTTTTCCTATTGTGCCAATACTGAAATATGTTTAAAGATTACACCCTGCAGATGTTGAAGGAAAGATAAAAGGTAAAATGTGACAGACAGTTGCTGGATTTTCAGAATTTAAAAACTGAGGTTAAGGACACAATGCAGTCCCAGTTTTTTAATAATTATCTGAAGTTAAATTCAGAGACCAGGTATCCTTGCTGCTAAAAGCAATGTATTTGTCCCCTCAGTATGCTTCTAGGTCCAGATGCTATTTTAAATTTACATCAAGCCCAGACGTTCTCCACTTGCAGACTAGTTTGATGACTAATTCTTTATAGCCTAAGATCTACTGCTTTTTCTTATTCATCAGAACAATTTATTTTATAGCATTATTCTTTTTATTCAGCTTTATGAGGCTCCTATCTGATTTTCCTGTCACTGAGTGTGTTGCAAGGGTATACTCACAAAAAAATTACTATTATTTCTTCACAAGAAAGGATCTGCCTATACTGCTATTGCGATAGACTACAATTTCTGTATGTTAATTCATTGGAAAGATTGCAGTAGTAACATTGAAGTTGTTGGTGAATCTTGTTCCAAACCTCTTAGGTAATTAATTATAGTCCTGCAACCAAATTATGCTCTGGACATGTGATTGCCACTCTTTCTACCCTAGCTTGTGAGAATGTACGTAATTTTCCTGTTGTGGCTTAACCAATTGGTCCAGTGAGATTTCCAATCAAGACTGTATTTGGTAATTTGGATTAATGTACCAAAATGAATGCTGCACCTCAGTAACCTTAGAACTGGAAACCTGAGAAAAGAGAGGCCCATTTAATAAAGGTGATATTACCAAAGAAACTCAGCGTAACTCAGAATAAACTTGGAGCAGAAACATGCTCAGATGCTGCTAGTGAGAGGACAAACACACTTCCTCTTTCTCCATTAAAATCCAGTCTGTTTTGGTAAAAAAGGAGTTTGAATCTGAGTCTCTCTCACCATTTTTCAGGTGTGTAAAAGTGGGTGGGATTTCCTAATCCAGTACTGTTTTGAAAGAAATGTGTTTGCTGTCTGATGACTCACCTTTATGTCTACTTTTAAGGCAGTGTATCAAACTTAGGGCGCTGGTTTTGTCTCCATAGACCCAATAGCTTCTTTGCTTCAGCTTAGTAATTCTTAAGCAATTCTATCTGTGATTTTTTTCTCTAAAGTCTCCTAGAGAGATGGAGGCTGTCATGTTAGGTAGAGTTAAAAACTTTTAAAATAAATAAAACAGACAGGTGATTAAAGCTGTTTCTTAAAACTATGTAAGAGTGAATTTATTGGAATTTTCAAGAATATTAATGATGGCCTAATTTGGATTTAATTCAATGAGAGCTACACTTCTGAGTCACTAAAATACTCACTGGGGTTTTCAGGCACAGCCAACTACATCTTTAGGCACCTAAACCAACCAAAAAGAGAGTTTTAGCCAGTATTTTCTGGGAAAACAAAATCATGTGCTGTAATATCTCTTCCACAAAACAAGATGTTGAGATGACTTTACTGAAAAAAAGTATTGATTTTATTTTGTTGCCAAGTACAAAATAGCAAAGGTCAAAAATAATGCTCAGGTACAGACAATGTGAGGTCACCCAAGTGAAGGTTTGGAAACTGAAAGGTTTTTGTTTTACATATTTGTGTGTCAAGGTTCAGGGATAAAAGAAACTGTACCACACAGTAGATCTTTCAAGTGCTGTTTTGATACTTCATATACCAATATCAGGAAATAAACTTTTTTAAATTGAATGAGTAGTAGAAGTTCAATTCCAAATTGAATTCCTAATTCAATTCCAAAAAGAAGGCACAGGAACCCAAACTTGCAATGCAGTTGGCAGCTGGGAGAGGACTTATGTCATCTCATAATCTCTCAATTTGATCTGCTGAATCCAACACAATGTAATATGAGATAACACACTCTGCAGAACTGGGAGATGTAAACAAAACTATCAAAGCCCATCTTTTAAAGTAGTTCCAGTAAATGCAAATATTTCAATAATATTTGAGTCTTAAAATACTTGTGGCATTGTAACAATTCCAGTTTTTAAAAGCTATAAAAATTCATGTAGATCACTTTGCTGCTTTTATACAATATTTGTAAGAGGAGGAACTGCAGCAGTGTTATAATTTCAAATATGAAGCAGTAATTGTTAAACAGCTAAGAAACTAAGATTTAGGGGCCAGGAAAGCTGATAGTACAAGAAGAGGTCACCAGTAGGAAGCGGATACTGCTCTCCAAACCAGAGAGAGAGAGCCACAGCTGCGCTGCGTTCTTGTAACTGGTGGAGGACAAGTTTGCAAGGCAGGACTGTACGGAGCTTCCCAAGCCCCCATGCCTAAATCACCAGGGACTCTTCTTCCCATAACAGACTGAGTATCCCAGAGTTCCCACCCTTGATGGCAGCGCTGATGTGGTCTCATCTAGAGCCACAGTTTCACTTTTTCTTATCTGTACTGTCAGCTTGATTTTGCTCCCTTCCTTCTCCAATCTCCCAAACTTTCCTGACTTGCTTTTACCAAGTGGCAATATTTAATGATTCTGTAAGTGAAACAGTCAGATGGTTCACAGGGGCCTCAGACATGCCTGGAAAACTTGTTGCATACTGTAATCCTGTGAAATGCTGTCTATCTCCAATAGAATAGAATTAGGATACACTTCATACTTTCGTCAATACTTAGGGTACACTATATACGCTCAAAAGGTCACTGTTTGCATTGATGGAAAAGCTATGAGGAGCTGAGATGACACCATAAACCCACCCAGAAATCTATGACTCAAGAGGGAAGCATGAAAGTAAAATCTGGTATCCAGAACAGAGCATGAAGATGAAAATAAATAGAACTGCCAGAAACAGTAAGATACCAATACTGTAGTGTAATATATTTCAGCAATTTAGTGTTCCTCGTGCTCTGCTGACCTGGTCCCAGGAGGATTGGATTCTGTCTAATACCCATTTGCTCTATCTGTGTGGTGTCTAGGCAGTGGAGCATCAGGGTGCAAATGAAATCCTGGAAAATGTGTGCCATTTCAGCTTGCATCAGCCAGGGTCACATCCTCTGCTTCCCCCAGCACACCGAGCACAGCATTTGGGAGGAAGAGCTTCTGTGCATGCTCAGAGTCAGAGAGAGCAATCCCAGCTCCTGCTCCTGCTCCTGCAGAAGGCTTCCTGAATGTAATTTCAGTGGGCATGGAGCTGTGCCAAAGTACATGGTGTACACAATATTCCCTAGATTCTGGAGGAAGGGTAAAATGAGTTGCCTCATCCCTGTTAGGAGGTTGTTGGCTCATCAGAAAAGGTAATTGTGTTTGTTGTTTTCTCTTACCTGTTTTGGAAGGAGTCAGTTTCTTTCATTAGGTATGTCTCTGTGGGAGTATGCTACCCATTCTCTAGTGGCCTTGCGAAAGTTGTTCATCTTTATTTTTCTTAGGGAACCTATCAGCAGCTGCTTCATCTGCCTTGTTTTCTCCCATATTTGCAGTATGTAGTTAGACATAGCAATTACAAAACAAATACAAGAGATAACTCTGACGAGCTGATTTAATTCAAATGCAGTGAATGAAAACAAACAGTAATTAGTAGGGGAAGAGGAGGAAGAACAGAATTATACTGCTATATTATGTATTTTTGGCTCACTGGGTAAATATTTAAAGTATTCATTCTATGGTGCTCTTTTAAAAAACTTTCTTTTTTTCTAATTTGCTGCTTTCCGTGTACATGTCTCTGAGGAAAAGTGCCTTTGACTAGGATGATTTTATGGAAATATTAAATTAGTTTGAAGTTTCCAAGGAAGGAGGGAGGGAATTGAAGACTGTGCCACATGGGAGAAGGCAATGCCATGCAGTGGGAGGGAGGCTATGGAGCAAGCAGCCAGACTTGGCATCATCATTAGTCTTCAAAGAAAGGCCTTGATGCACACGTGCAATCCTCGATGCTAATGATGAGAAATTCAGCAAAGAGCATAGGAAGCATCCAGCTGAAGGATTTGAGCAGGGAATTTAATGAACAAAAGCAATAATTATCTTTATTACATAGTTTTGGCTGCCACACTTTGAGCCTGATGAACAGGCTCAGTTATTATCACTGAAATGGTATGTCATGATAGTAACAGCTGGGAGCAGGGATTGTTTGGAATAAGTAAAAGATACATGGTTTTGGTCAACTTAAACTGAACTAGTATCTGGAAAGGTATCTGTAAAATTATGTAAGAAGAAAGAAAATAAAAAGGATTAATGACTGTAAGAATAGAAGCAAAACAGGCAACAGCACAAAGACAGACAAGGAAGAGTAAGGATCATGGATGGGACTGGGAAAATGGATTATTGAGAAGGAACTGCATACTGGCATGTTAAAATAGAAATCACAGGGGAGGCTACCATGAAAGCAGGGAGAGAGAGAGGAGGATTTAAGTTTATCAATAGATTTAGGAGGTACAGTGAGCACTTGCTACAAGACATTGTCAGGACCACCTTGTCATTTGGCTAGTGATCTCACTGGTACCATTCTTGTGTACAGGTGGTGTTTTCTGCCACTGCTTTCTCTAGCACATAGACATTTTGAAAAGTCATTTTAATGATGATATCATCCATCGCTGATGAAGTCTGGTATCTTTGTTTGCAGTGCAATATGCCACATGCCAGAGGTGTCTTCATCACGGGGCTTGCTTCATCGTATTCCCGTTTCTGTTCTTTTTAATAATTCTTCTGTGCTTTCTACCAGGAATTTTTCTTCTGGGAAACTTGTGCTTATTCTTCTTCATCCATTTTTTAACTTTTCTAATCCGTGGGCTCACACAGAACTTTCTGCCTTCTATGTAGAGACTGCCAGAGCAAAAATTGGTTGTCAGTTTCCAAAAAAAAAAACCCCTCCAACTTTTTAAAGTTATCGTTCACCTATGAAGACCATAAAGTTCTAATTAGTTAATTTTAAATTATATTTTGTACTATGTCTATTCACTTTTGTCTGGTTTCAAATATGTAAAGGTTAGGATTTAAGGTTTACATGATTACAGTTCCAAAATCTGGAAAAAGCTTTACTACTTTAGTGGGCTAGAAAAGTACTGTGCAGAACAGTACATTTCTATGGCCAATGAATAAGTGGACCACTTTAATTGTTATTGTTATTATTACTGTTATTGTTATTGCTATTGTTGTTATTGTCACAATCATAATGCAAATGTCTAGAAATAAAAAATGTCCAAGATTTCTTAGAAATTTATCAATTTAACCCAAACAGTGTGATACTGTACCAGCCAAAAAAAAAAAAAAAAATTAGAAATATCTTATGTTCAAAAGTAAAGCTGATTCAATGAGTTTATGCAAAATTTATAGAGGATCAATAGTTGGAAAACCCCAGAAAAGTCTTAAGGTGCATGATTAATTCTTTAGTTCTGAAAATAAAGCAAGTGTCAAAGTTGGTGCAGGCTGAATAATGATCAGTATTAATACCAGAAAGGAAATCCAGTTTTAGCAGTAAGAAGTTTAAATAGCATAAGGAAGGACAGTTCTTAAATCACACACAATCTTGTTTTTCATTGGATTTGTGTTAGCATTCTAAGATTCTACTTGTTTAAGTGATGCCAAGTTTTAACTTGACAGTACTCCTTTCACAGTGAAGGACCCAAAATGTCTCTTACATAACAGCTTCTAGGTGACACAGGCCATCTCCTTTCTGGATTTCAAACTTCTCCACTCTTCGGAGGATTCCTTTGGGAATTTCATCTGAAATTTTTGTGCAACAGTTAAAGGCCCCAGGAAACAAAGCTAAAGAAAGTAATAACAGTGTTAGAAACAGCATAGGTATGAAGGGGACAAGGCATAGCTTGACTTCACAGAATCACAGAATGTTTGAGTTTGGAAAGGACCACTGGAGGTCATCTGGTCCAACCCCCCTGCTCAGGCAGGGCCACCTGGAGCTGCTTGCCCAGGACCATGACCATGACCATATAGCTTTTGAATATCTCCAAGGATAGAGACTCCACAGAATATCCGGGCAACATGCTCTAGTGTTTGATCACACTCACAGCAAAAAAAAAAAAAAAAAAAAAAAAAGTGTTTTCCTGTATTCAGATTGAATTTCATGTGTTTTAATTTATGCCTATTGCCTCTTGTTCCACCAGTGGGCACTACTGCAAAAAGCCTGGCCCCCTCTTCTTTCACTCCCATCAGGTATGGGAATGGTGGTTACAACACCTTGATGAGAACTCTGTTGAGCTTTCTCTTTTACAGGCTGCCCCAGGACTCTCAGCCTTTCTTTACATGCAAGATGGTCCAGTCCTTTCACCATCTTTGTGGCCCTTCACTAGACTCTCTCCAGTAAGTCTATGTCTCTCTTGAACTGAGGATCCCAGAACTGGACCCATCACTCCAGCTGTGGCCTCACTGAGTAGAGGGAAAGGATCACCTCCCTTGACCCTGTGACCAGTACCCCCTGCTCCCAATCCCTGGTAATGTGGTTAGCATAATTAATGCCATTTTATGAGGCAAGCAGCCATTCTCTGTGACCAAGTAAGTCATGTATTTGTTGCCTTTCCCCCATTATCAGGCCCTGAAGGTCCTGTGAACCAAATAGATGAACCAAACAGATTTCTTCTTCCCTTCCCCACTGGGCACCAGCAGGTACTGCTGCCTGGCATTATTCTTCCCCAGCTGCAGGACTTTACATTTCCCCTTGTTGAACTTCATGAGATTTCTCTCTGCCCATTTCTATAGCCTGTTAAGTTCTATCTGTAAGGCAGCAAAACCATGTGGTGCATCAGCCAGTATGCCCAGTTTTTTATCATTTACACACTTGCTGAGGGCACATTCTGTCCTATCATCCAGGTCACTAATGAGGATGTTGAACAGTATTGGCCCCCACATTCACCCCTGGGGTATACCACTGATGACTTGCTTCCAAAGGACTTTGTGGCACTGATCACAACCCTCTGGACCTGGTTGTTTGGACAGTTTTCAATCCACCTCACTATTCATCTAACCTGTACTTTGTCAGCTTGTCTATGATGTCATTACGAGAGACTGTATTAAAGGCTTTACTGAAGTCAAAGTAAACAACATCTACTGGTCTCTTCTTGACCAGCAAGCTAGTCACCTCCTTGTAGAAGGCTATCATGTTGATCAAGCATGATTCCCCCTTCATAAATCCATGCTGACTGAACCTGATCACCGTCTTGTCCTTCAGATCTTTGGAAATGATTTCCTGGGGGATATTCTCCATCAGCTTCAAGGGCTTGAGATGAGGATGACCAGCCTATAGTTCCCTGGACCTACCTTCTTGCCCTTCTTGAAGAAAGGAGTGGTATTTGCTCTCTTCCAGTCTTGAGGAACCTCTCCCAGTTGCCATGACTGTTCAATAATAATTGACAGTGGCCTCACAGTGACATCAGCCAGCCTCCTCGACACTGCTGGGTGGTGCATCCCATCTGTCCATGTGGCCTTATGCTGGTCCAGTTTTTAAAGTGGTACCTAATTTGGTCCTCCTCCAATAATGATAAATCTTCCTTATTCCAGACTTCCTCGGATCTCAGGGACCTGGGATTCTTGAAGGCCAGTTTGAATGGTAAAGTGTGGAGCAAAGAAGGCATTGAGTACCTCAGCCTTACCCATGTAATTTGTCACCAGTTTCCCTGCCCCATTCATCAGTGGGTTCACATATTCGCGTCTCTTTTTTTTTTGCTAATTATGTACTTGTGGAATCCCTTCCTATTGCATGTCACTTCCCTTGCCAGATTCAACTCCAGCTCAGACTTGGCTTTCCTAACCACATTCCTGCATGATCAGGCAACAACTCTGCACACCACCTGGTTCCCTGCTTCCACCCCTTTTTTTCCAGTCCATGTAGGCCTCCTGACACTTTGCTTTGTTTTCTGTTTGTCAGGACAGACCTTTCTAGGACTCAGAGAAGGTGACCCTTCAATATCAGCTGGCTCTCCTCAACCTCTCTTCTCTCCAGAATCATATGTCATGGGATTCTTCCAAGCAAGTCTTTGAAGAGGTTGTAAATCTGCTCTCATGAAAGCCAGGGCTGTGGTCTTGCTTTTTGCCCTGCTCCATTCTCCTAGGATCCTGACCTCCATCATCTTATGGACACTGCAGCCAATACTACCTCTGACTTTCATGTCCCTTACCTTCCTTGTTTGCAAGTATCTAGTCCAGCTGAGCACTTATCCTTTCTGGTTCCTTGATTGTGCTGGAAGATGTCATCAGTGCACTTGAGAGATCTTGTAGATTGCTTGAGCACTGCTGTATTGTCCTTCCAGAAGATATCAGGGTGGTTAAAGTCCCCCAAGAGGGCCAGAGCCTGTGAACTTGAGGCTTTTTCCAGCTCTTTGAAGAAGGCTTCATCTACTTTTTCCTGGTCAGGAGGTCTATAGCAGATACCCACTACAATGTCACCTGTGTTGGTCTGCCCATTAATCCTGACCCATGAGATCCCAGTTGGTTCATCATCTATCCCCAGGCAGAGCTCTGTGCGTTCCTGCCACTCTCTTGCATAAAGGGCAACTCCCTCTCCTCACCTTCCCACCTGTTCTTCCTAAAAGCCCATATCCCTCCATTGCAGCCCACCAGTCACATGAGCCATATTATGACCCCAGTGAGGTCCTAGCTCTGTACCCGAGGACAGACTCTGACTCCTCCTATTTGCTCCCCATGCTGCAAGCATTAGTGGAAGGGCATTTCAGAGATACATCAAGGGTTAGTGATCTTTACAGTTTATGGGATGAGATACCATCTTCTCAGCTTCTCCCACAAGACAGATGAGTGTTCTTGTTTAAAGAACAGTTTCCTCCACCTCTCCTTGTACACATATATATAAAGGCTTGTTACAGTAAAATAAAAATTAAAAAAACCAACAAACTTAAGTGTTTTTTTTGTGGAAGAAGATCACTGACATTAATGACAGAGGAAGCAAATTTAAAAGCTCTGCCTTGTGAGATTGAATCAGACCCATTATCTTTTGTCTTTGAAAATATTAATGCTGTTGCTGGGTTTTGTGTTTTCTTTTGTCCCTAGGGCTCCCATGGCTGAATCTGTCTGTACTAGGGAATGATCTCCTGAAGATTTTTTCCTGCTTGCTAGTACTATATTGAAAATAAAAAGTCACCAATCCTTGAAAGCAGATCCTAATTCAAGATTTTCTTTTGATGACAAATAATAACATTTTGGTGTTTGATTTTTTTTTTTTTACTCTAGCACACAAATAGATCTTCTAAAAGTGATTCCCTCCATAAGATCTAGCACAAGCAAAGATATGTGCACACTGAGTTCTGGAGTAACAGATGCCAGCAAAGCCGTAGCAGTGATTTCGAGCAGCTAGCAATGTAGCAGGAGTCACGGAAGACCAGTTACACTATCTGCTGCAGCTTACAGGGGGCTTTTGTACCCATGGGGTTGGTGACAGAGACCTGAGATTTCACAGTTGGAAGGGAGGGTGAGAGAAAGCAGCTGGTTTAGCAGTTGCTTCCTCAGCAACCCAGACAGGAGGACTATAAATAATCATATGTTGCAGAAGGATTAATTAAGTGTTGAATGCTACCTGTTTTATTTCTCTGTTGTCCTTTGCTTTGCTCCCTTTGAAAACATACAGCTTGTGAAGCCAATGAACTGATGTTTGCAAATGGAAATGCAGCTCATTGAGCACCACTAAGTTTATTTTTTTCTGAGGGCTCTAGACAGCATTGGTGACACTGAAGTATGAACTTTTGTTGTCACCAGTGAGCTCCTGACAGAAAGATTATGTGGAATAAGAACTCAAGAAAGGGCAGTTATACCTTGAATTCTGAGGTTGCCAGCTGTGCTTTTTGGAGAGGTCTAGACCTGTGCTGGTTTGGGGTCTAGTAAACTAATATACTTGGCACAGCCAGCACTGCCAGCCTTGCATGAAGTGGCTGGATATTACAGAAGGTCTTAGAGTGAGCTGGCTGTCCCCTGAACTCTTCCTCACCTGGTTTCTTCAGTGCCTGGCTACTATCTCTTGCCCTCATCCCACTTTATGTACTCAGAAACATCACTTGCTTTGATCCTCAGATCTGAGCCATCTGTATTTTTCACTTTATAGTTGTTGTGGTTTAACCCCAGCTGGCAGCTAAGTATCAGGCAGCCGCTCGGTCACTCCTTCCCCCTCCCAATGGAATGGGGAGGTGAATCAAAAAAAGAGTAAAACTCACAGGTTGAGATAAGAACAGTTTAATAACTAAACTAAAATATAATAACAATAACAGTAACAATAATAATAACAGTAACAATAAATTATTTATTATTATTATTGTTGTTGTTGTTGTTGTTGTTATTATTATTATTATTATTAGGGATATAACATAAAGATTGTGAGATAAAACCCAAGAAAAGACAAGCAATGCACAATGCAATTGCTCACCACCCACCGACCGATGCCAGAGCAGCAATCCACCCCTCGCAGCCAACTCCTCCCAGTTTATATACTGAGCATGACATTCTGTGGTATGGAATACCCCTTTGGCTAGTTCAGGTCAGCTGTCCTGGCCATGCTTCCCCCCAGATTCTTGTGCACCTTCTCACTGGCAGAGCACAAGAAACTGAAAAATCCTTAACTTATCATAAGTGCTACATAGCAACTACAAAAACAGTGTGCTAACAACATGATTCTCACACTAAATCCAAAACACAGCACTGTACCAGCTACTAGGAAGAAAATTAACTCTGTCCCAGCCAATAGCAGAACAGTAGTGCAATATAGTGCACTTCATAACACTATGTTAATAATTTGTACAATTTATAACTAAAAA